AATCTTAAAGCCAGAATTTTCTGGCTCAAGAAAGAGTTGTTGATGGCAATTAACAAAGAACTTCCCCCTCTATTTCTTATTTGAGGAGCTCAGAGCACTTTACAAATTCAAGCCAATATTAATAAATAATATTTTGGTGTACAGCAGAAAAATATACAGGACCCCCAAACCCACAAACTGCCTGAGGGACTTCAAGCAATAAAAGATAATGTTGCAGAAAAAACACCTTAGAAGCTCTTATAATCCTGTAAGATTTCTAACCTTTCAATAACATTCTCTGTTTTAATATTTTTATTTATTTTTTTTATTTATTTTTTTTTTCAACGTTTATTTATTTTTGGGACAGAGAGAGACAGAGCATGAACGGGGGAGGGGCAGAGAGAGAGGGAGACACAGAATCGGAAACAGGCTCCAGGCTCTGAGCCATCAGCCCAGAGCCTGACGCGGGGCTCGAACTCACGGACCGCAAGATCGTGACCTGGCTGAAGTCGGACGCTTAACCGACTGCGCCACCCAGGCGCCCCTGTTTTAATATTTTTAAAAAGTGGGTCATGAAAATACAATGTTTTTAAAAGTAACTGAAATATATTTTTCTGTTTCTCATATACATTCAGTCAGTGATATTTTCAGGACATTCATATTGGTTTTGTAGTGGTTTTAGGACAATGTGATTACTGCGTAAAACACCCGTCTATTTGAGTCCAGATACACGTGTCCGTTAACACTCCATACTACCTATCATGACGCCAGTAGCATGAAATGCCAAAAAGGTAGAGACAGTGCAGCTCAGGGACGGTAACTAATATGCCTAGAGTCCCACAGCAAGTCACGAGGCAGAACTGGGATGTAGCTGCCCATCTGTCTGGTTTCTGTGTCTCTTCTCTGGAGCTCGACAATGTGGCACTTTGGAGTGAGACAGACTGAGGCTCCAATCTGGCTTCTGCCCATTTCTAGAGATAGAATCTAAGGCAAGGGACAAATTTGCCAAACCATTTCCTTCTCTGCAAAGTGAGGATTCATCCACTTAACCTGCCATTCAACAAGGATTTAATAACTGTCTCCACATGGTGGCTCCAAATATTCAGTGCAGTGAAGCCCGAGTATTTAACAGTGGCCCAAATCACAGTTTTATGTGCTCCATAAATATGGGTTCCATTTTGGCCATATTTATAGTTGACGTCAGACAGATGGAAGAAGGAATGGCTATTTGTTAATTCTGCTTGGAGACTCTTCATTAGTCAATTAGTCCATTCATTCAATGAGATTTGTATAGTGTGTCTACTATATACATGCATTCTTGGAATGAGTTAGTAAAGCAAAAATCCTTCTTGTTATGGAGCTTACCTTCTAGCAATAGAGATACATAAATAAGTACATAATAAGCACATAACATAAAGTTAATCATATGGTACCCAAGAATGTACTAAAGAGCTGTGGACATCAGAAAAAGTACTTGGACAAAAACTTGAAGGAAGTGAGAGAATGAGTGACACAGATAACATGAGGGATTTGCTTTCTAGGCATAAGTGTTGGCCAGTTCAAAGGCCCTGAGGCGAGAGCATTCCTGATACATTGTGAGAAGAGCACAGAGGATGGAGTGGAATGAAAGAGGAAGAAGATTAGATGACACTAGGAAAGTAACGGGGTCCAGACCGAGTAGGTCTTTTTTGACGTTGAATCTGATAGCCATTGCGGGATTTCAAGCAGAAAACTGATGTGCTTGTGCTGATGTAATTTTAAATGCGTCACTTCGGCTACCGTGTAAGAGTCACGGGTAGAAGCAGGAGATGGGTTAAGAGGTTGTTGAGGTAGTGCCGGTGGGTGATGGTGGTCCAGACCCGGGTGCCAACGGGGGTGTGCGTGGCAAGCGGTCGGTCTCTGAGCACAGTGTGACGGCAGAGCCATCCGCTACGTTAGAGGAATTAAGAACGACTGAAAGGATCGTGGCCCGCACAGTTGGAAGCATGTGGTTGTCTTCAAGCGAAGGCGGCAGATGGGGCCGGCTGGGAGGGAGAGGAAGCCAGGGGCAGTTTTGGACATCACTGGTGGCCTTGACTGGAGGCGTGTCAGTGGCGTGGTAGGAGTGAAGGCTTACTGGAGCGGGTTCAAGGGAGACTGGGAGGAGGGGATTTGGAGACCCCGGGGACAAACGATTTGATCCGGAGCCATTGCTGCAAAGGAGTGCGACGGAATGAGGCGCACTCTAATGGGTGACGTGGGGTCCAGAGGAGGTTCTGCTTTGTGAGACCACCTTTTGGAGGCTGGTGAGAACGATCTAACAGAGGAGCGTGGGAAAGTGGTGACGTAGAAGGTAAATGACGGAGCAGCTGGAGCGAGGCGCTTGGGCGTGCAGGAGCAGACGGAGTCAGAGGCAGGCGCACGGGAGGGAGAGCCAGTCTGTGCAAACAAGCGGGAAGGCAGAGCACCTGGCAGGTGAGGTGGTGGCGGGAACCCCCGCAGGTTCATTTCTGGTGCGTTTTTCTCAGGGATGGAGAAGTCAAGGCCATCGGTTGGGAAAGAGGACGGGAGGGATGTCACCCAGATTTTTAAGACATCTGCCATCCTTTGTTTTCTTGTCCTCGTTCATTTTTTTCTTTTTCTTTTTTTTACCTTTGGTTCCCTTTCAGCTGCTGTTTCCTAAGTGTCTCTAGGGTGAGGGGAAGGCAAAGTGGTGGGCACAGGACAGGAAGAGGAAGTAATGCGTGTGTGTGCAAAAGAGAAATAGCAGTCAATCCAGAGACACACAAATCTGTGATATAAAAAACAGACAATAAGGGGCACATGGGTGGCTCGGTCTGATAAGTGTCCAGCTCTTGGTTTCGGCTCAGGTCATGATCTCTCGGTTCGTGGGATCGAGTCCCACATCAGGCTCTGTGCTGATAGTGCAGAGTCTGCTTGGGATTCTCTCTCTCCCTCTCTCTCTGCCCCTACGCTGCTGATGTTCTGTTTCTCTATGTCTCTCTCTCTCTCTCTCTCAAAATAAACAAGCTTAAAAAAATAGACAATAGAATTTTAAAATCCTACAACTTTCAACAAATACGTTGGTCGGAAAGGAGGGACAGTTAGTCTCCACAAACACCACATGTTCCTTTATTGGTATCGCCTTTTTGTTTGACTTGTACTCAGGATCGTACTCAGCACTCACATTACCAGACATGAGTCACATGGGACCTAAACATTTCATCTAGGCACTTCTTGGACACATTTCTTTTTGAAGGAAGGGAAAATGAAATAACTTTTAAAGGTTTTCATGCCCAATGTGGGCTGTGTTAACATCACACCCCCAATAAGGGTATGTAAGTTTTCTAAGGGTATAAATTATTTGGAGCCAAGTACTACTTTTCCATTTAAAATGGTAGGCTGGGGGCGCCTGGGTGGCGCAGTCGGTTAAGCGTCCGACTTCAGCCAGGTCACGATCTCGCGGTCCGTGTGTTCGAGCCCCGCGTCAGG